AAATGGCCCGAGCCGCGGATCGAACGCGGGACCTCTCGCATATTTGCTAAGGGTGAACCCCTGGAGAATTGGTTAGTAACAATATAAACTAAATCGGGTAATTTGGTGGGACATACTAAGCGAGAATCATACCACTAGACCACCCGGGCAGTTGAATTTTATTTTTCAATTTTGTGCTCTAACAGGCAGAGCGTCTTTGGAGACTAATTTGGATAAATTAGGCTACAATTGACTATCTTGTAAGACCTCATCTCATGCCTGAGGCTCCTGCTCAACTGTTTGGCTTGCCCATGACTTGACGTAAAACCATCCTTCGTGTCGTAGAGTAAGCTTACTGATTTCCTCTAAAGAACAGTGGATATGTTGTCCTGAAGATCCTTATATTAGAAATTACAAGCTACGAATTCTACGCCACCATCGCCCAAGCCCACACCAGCTGGAGCAGCCCAGGAGGTTACGCAACTGCTGGGTTCGAGTCCTAAACAACCGCGTCCACAGATTCCAGGGATTTGAGTCCATGGGTCCGAGTTTGAATCTTCACTTGTCCCGTCAGTCAGCCTGGAGGGGGTTTCTCCCGGGAAGGAACCGCTTATGGTGGAGCAGACATGGATGGAAGAGTTATTTCAACCAGGCAGAGCCGGATCTTGATGAGGAGGAGGCCTACAGAGAGAGGGCGCGCATTTGACGGATTTGCTTTTTGCAATATGATTCCCGTCAATAGCAGAATCCTGTCTGATCCATGGTTCTGCGAGATTGGCGTTGAGAATGGCTGTTTTATTTATCTATCTATACTCGGATTGTGTGTTTCTGTCCTCCATATATGGGTACGGTACTTGCTTGTGGTCTCTGATGTGCAGCTGTCTGTTCTGAATAAGGCAGGAATGCAGTGCTCATTCCTTGGGACGGGATCGCTTCGTCCTCTATACAGCTCCTGATAGTGCCCTGGTGACGTTTCGGCACATGTGGCCGCTGGCAGAACGGAAAGATTCCTCGTAAAGCACGGCAATACTAAGTTGCAGTAAGTTCTAGACCACAGGCAGACTTCTTTATCTACTCAGGTTATGCAACTTCACTGCTTACCTGTTAAATTACCTTAAGATAGAAGGGTACCTAATTGCTCGGTAGACCAATCTTAAGCCGAGTTTATGATCAACAACGGCTTGTTTAGTTCACGACGTTCCAGTAGAGACCAGTCTACAGCTGAGCACTAGGTTCATTGGACAGGCAGCGGTGTTGTTCGACTTAATCCCGCATTCAAGAACCAGCAGGAAACACCGTCACTGAGTATACGATAACAAATCCGAAGCTCTACCCATCTACTCGCGAGAACCGCAATACAATACGAAACCAAGTTCCAGAACTCTCAAGTCCAGTCCATTTCTCATAACAATACACATCAGTCATTAAAAACCATCAAATCATATAGTAGTACTAGAGAGCGCCTCATGGTATCGACGACCCATCATGAAAACAAAAACAGAAGACCCATTGAATGATATCACATGGCACAATCGTATCGATCGTATCGCTTAATGCTTAGCGGCCTCTGCATTACAATCATTCAGTTAGCTCTTGACCTATCCTATCGACACCCATCCATCGAAGGGAAAAGAGAACACACCCTTGTGGACATCAGCCTTGGTATCGTGAGACTTCTCGTCCTTCTTGTCGACGAGAGCGTCCTTAGCGGCGCTGGCACGAGTGCTGACCTTGGCGTCGTCGTCCTTGGCGACGTTCTTGTTGGCCTCCTTGGACGCGGTGGCGCCGGTGCCCTGGATGGACTCGGAAACGTAGTTGGCGGCGTTCTGGGGGTTATTAGCAATTGCTTAACGTCGATGGGTAAGAGAAGCAGGCGGGTTGCGTACCTTGACGGTCTCCATTGTAGTGTAGTGTAGTGTTGTGGTTGTTGGTTGTTGTAGATTCTTGAATTGAGTTGAGTTGAGTTGAGCTGTGTTGTGTTGATGGAATTCTCCAGGAAGCGAGAATCTGAAGGCTATTTATGTTTCTCCATTGAAGTGACGGATTCTGGACGTCATTGTTTGTAGAGGTGGAAGTGAAGTTGAAGTCTAGGGCGATGGACTTGGCAGGGTCGTGACGTCACATATCGCCATCTCTCGGGCATACCTTACCCAGGAAGAATACACCTGAGGTCATCGATCAGCTGTCTTCATGACTCAATGCCCAAGTAGGTACGTCATGGATTCGGTAAGGGACCCGGTGACCCGGGGTCTTTACTCTGTCCAGGGGCTGGATCTGTCGGAGACTGTTTCCATGTCATTGTTGGGGTCAGCATGCAGGTTGCCGCGCGTTCAGTTGCGTTCAGTTGAAGGGGGAAACAGAGCCTAGCTGAGTAAATGCCAGTATGAGTGTGAACGTCAGGTTGTAGCTAGAAGGGAATATTATTACAGTTGCCTTTGTGTTTATTGTTGAGTCCCGACAAGAGGGAACAAAGGTGTCATATTACTGAAAGTGGTTTGGCTAGGTAAAGACAACGGTACCTAAGGCCCAATGATTCCCACACTACAGACGGAAATCTAGGCTTTTGAGGTTCTAACGGACTCTGGTAGTCGCCAGATAATCAGGTCCTACTGGTTTACTGACGATTTCCGGAGCTCAACAGATGGGCGTGGCCATGACCCGACATGACAGTTCATTGAGCAATGACTGCTAGTGGCCGGGATCTAATCAGGGAAAGAAAGCAGGGCATGATACGACTAAAGGAATTGGATACCTTACTCTGCTGTGTATACTCGTACTGATATTCGTTCCAACTGCGCTACCAGTGTCTGTGGAATATTAGGTCAATACGTCATCCTCTCTACCAGCAATGATACTCCTGGAGGTAGCCAGGAACCTCAGATCCATTCAGATGCTTAGCTGAGCTTCTATTTTAAGATACTGAATTTGCATATGCCTCTCCTGTTTTGATGTTAACTTCCCCTGGCTGTTTAATAAGTAAAAATCATCTACCTATAACCTCTTCAGACAGTACCTCTCCCGTGCATATTACTCGGTATATTCTATGTTATAGCTAGTTTCACGACCCTTCCATGACTTCATCTCTGTCAGGATTGCCATAGTCCCTCTTAGTACCAACTGTCCAGGTGCGACTGTTGAAAAATCTCATACCCCCCTTGATATCTCTATCAATTACACTGTTCACCGACCTTCATACCTGATATCTCATAGCTCCGACCAGTACCCTTACTCTATTCAACCCGGCCTAGCATAACAAGTCCAATCGCTCACCGGGATATATATGACAAGGGTACGTAAGCATACAGAGAAAGAGAGAGAGAGAGAGTAGCGGAACCTTCACTCATAGACCCCAAAATCGTCTGCCGTTTCAGGGTCTGTTTCCAGGCCCTATCCGAAACTAAAAGCAGTTAAATATGATAACCATTTATTTATTTTACTATCAGCGTGGGGTCTCGACCCTTCAGCAGAGTCTGTTAGACCGCTGCCAGCAAGGGAGTATAAGTATCGTCTGATAGCCACGCAAGCAGATCGTCCAGCACAGCAGAATGCAGTATGATATCCTTCATAGACAAGAAGGAACTATAAATGTCTACCTAACCATCCAGCAGACACATTTCGTTCCAATAAAGACATCTCGATAACACGACCGGAACCTGACCATTTCCCGTACCTACCTTGGTTCAGAGACATCCTTAGCCTACCAACACGAAAGAAAGAGAAACCCAACAAATAATATACGGATAGTATCATGATAATTATCGAGCTATATATACAAACACACAACCAAACCCCAAGCCACGACCTCGCACATCCCCCGTCACCGAGAAATAGATACTAAATGGAACCAAATCCCTACCCTACCCTGCGCAGGCCCTACTCCCTGAGCGCCGAATAAGCCTGCAAAGCCCCCATCAGCGCAACAACCACCCCATTCCCCGTAACCCCGCGCTTCAGATACCACCCGGAGCTCCCCAGCATGACGGCGCTCATCAACATGGCTACAACCTTGTTGATAGGGTTCCTCAGCTGCTCGGGGGCCAGGGACCAGTTGTAGTTGATCAGAGCTGTGGTGGTTAGCACTTCACTGCGTGTCCTCTAGCTTACAACAACAACAACAACAACAACAACAACAACAACAACAACAAAAAAAAAAAAAAAAAAAAAAA